AGATGCACTCTTATTGATTGTGCTTGGCTGTACATGTTCATATCCTTGAAGATGTATCATGGGGGTAAACATGTTTAAATGAAAATAAACTCAGACTTTTAAAAGGGAAAAAAAGTGTTTTCAGGTTGAAAGGATCGGGCATATCCTGAATCTAGACCTATATGGACTTGAACCCCATCTGTGCCTTTTTTTGCCCTTTGGAAACTTCAGCCCTGGTGGCCAAGTGGCAAAAAGCTGTACAACAATCCCAGAGGTACGTGGTTCAAATCCACCAGGTACTCTGCTGGAGAAGGTGGGGCAATCTCCTCCTGTACCAGTCAGATCTGATTTGACGGTACACACACACACCTACACCCACACCCAAAAAAAGATGGGTGTTTATTTCCTGTGGCAGCCATGAAATAGTAGCATGAACTGGGTGACTGGAAACAATGGAATTCTATCATCTCACAGTTCTGGAGGCTGAGAGTCTGAAATCAAGAAGCTGGGAGGGCATGCTCACCTTGAAGGCTCTGAGGGAAGATCTTTGGTTGTGAGTTCAGTTGCAGAGAACAGCAGTGAACATCACAGGAAAATGAGTTGCAGATTTTTTAAATTTTTTTTTTTTTGCCTCCCAGTGTATGTACCGTTGTTTACACTGATTGGAGTCTATTAGAGGTACCCTGCTGGCATAGTGTGTAATGTACTGTGCTGCTAACCAAAGGTTGGTGTTTCAAATCCACCAACCACTCTGTGTAAGAAAGAAAACTGGGCAGTTTCTCTCCGTATAGATTTATAGCCTCAGAAACTGATGGAGGATCACTGTGTGTCGAATTAACTCAATGGCAGTGAATTTGATTCAGGTGGGTAGTCTTGGAAGTGTTGGGATGCTAACCAAAAGGGCCAACAGTTCGAACCCACAATCAGGAGATAGAGAAGGCATAAAATTTACAACCTTGGAGGGAGCTCTGGTGACCTAGTGGCAAGAAGCTGCGCTGCAATTCCAAAGGCACGTGGTTCGAATCCACCATCTAGATGCTTCGTTGGAGAAAGAGGGGCAATCTCCTCCTCTGCCAGTTGGATCTGACTCGACAGTACACAACAAAGGCGGGGGGGGAGACATTTACAATCTTAGAAACCTAGCGGAGGGTCGTCACGAATTGGAATGGACTCTGACAGGGTTTTGGGTTGGTTTGTTGGGTTGGTTAAGCGGGAGAAGGATGGGCAATCTCCTCCTGTGGGGTTTACTGCTTCTGAAAACACGCTGGAAGGTCTAGCTAAGCGTTGGTTCAGACTCGACGACACATAATAACATTAAGCATTATTAAAAAAGCTTGACCGTGTGAGGATTATAAAAAAATGATGCAGAGACACGAGGTGAGCCCGTGCTGTTGGAAAAATGGTGCACGTTGACTTGCTTGATGTAAAGTTGTGGAAAGCTACAACCACAACAAATTCCACACAACGAAAACCTACGATTCTGCGAGTTCAAGCAAACCTCATCCAAGCTTATAGATGGCTAAAGGATGAGTTCCAATCACTTGGAATTGACGATTCCAGCTGTTGTAGACTGAGGATAAAGTATTTTTATAATTGTTAATAATGAGACAGCCAAGCAGGAATGAGATAAAACAGAGAGTGTAAAGACAGGGGGCCAGCAGTTTCATGGACTGAAGGGCCTCAAGCCACGCCTCTGTGTGTATTTATTGAGAATCAGGGGAAACAAATAATAATTCAATGCAAATGAAGCCAATTTTTTTCTCTATTGTCAACCTAATGCTTTTGCTCAGGAAGGAAGTTTTTCACAGGTATTAACACTCTCTCTGTAGAGGGGCCCTAGCTGTCTCTTGTCTGCAGGAAACAGCTCATTTTCTGTGATCTGTCACAAGAGAAATCTCAACTTATACATTTGTAATTCCTTCAATTCCTGAACAAGCATTTGTGTGTGTGTGTGTGTGTGTGTGTGTGTGTGTGTGTGACTGTACCGTCAAATCAGATCTGACTGGTACAGGAGGAGATTGTCCCTCCTTTCCCGGCAGAGCATCTGGTGGATTTGAACCGTGCGCCTCTGGGATTGTAGTTGCAGGTCCTTGCCACTAGGCCACCAGAGCTCTCCCCAAGCATATGTTTTTTCATATAATATTTGGTATGAAATTTGGCTTCTCATACCAGCGGCTTGGTTTGAATGGCTCTGTATCTTTCTGTCCAAAGATACAGGGCATGCCCCAGTCCTGTTGTTCCAAGTCACCCCAGCTTTTCTCTCTCCTCAGCCAGGACCCCCCTTGGACTCCACCTTCCACCAAAGCTTGGAGACGGATGTAAGTTCTTCTCATTTCAATTTCTGCTGAGTTCCCAGGGTTGGGGAGAGAATATTCTAGGCGGTGGTGAAGCTGTGACAGGAGAAGAACCGACTTTGGTCCATAAATATCTCCTGCTCTTTGTCCAGACTCTGTTGACGAAGTTGTGTGGGCAGGACCGGCTCCTTAAGAGGCTGCAGGAGGAGATGGACCAGAAGCAGGAGGAGAAGGTGCGCTCCCACCTCCCCAACTTCATTGAGAAGCCCCACTCCTTATTAAGTGTCTCCCTTTACATATTATGAGGGGTGGGGCATGGCTACTCCCCGCCCCTTAGCTGTAATCCTCTGTAGATTCGAAATCTTTGCCCAAGATGTTAATTATTACCCAGCACCAGCAATACATCACAGCCTAGCGGGTTAACTACGAGATTGCAAAATTAGATTCACCTTTGGAAATCAGGCCATCAGTCTTCTGTCCTCTCTCAATGGGTGGGACACGGGAAGACATCCCCGACCCCAACACCCCATTTTCCCTCCCACGAGGTCGAGTGTGGCTTCAGGAATCTCACCCCCTTCTCTCTTTAATGCAGGAGCAGCTAGAAGCAGCTCTGGAGCTGACCCGACAGCAGCTGAGCCAGGCGACCAGGGAGGCTGGGGCTCCGGGCAGGGCGTGGGGACGCCAGCGCCTCCTGCAGGACCGCCTGGTGAGCGTGAGGGCCACTCTTTGTCACCTGGCTCAGGTAAGCACCTACAAGGGCCCATACTCCCAAGGGGCTCCATGATTCCACTGGTTCTGACTGACGGAGAGCTGCCCCAAGGTTCATGGGAAGGCAGTTCTTGGGTCCTTCCATCCCAAATTTTAATCATTGAGGCTGAAGAGGCCAAGACACAGAAATGAGTTTGATGGTTTACGAGGGAAATTTGGATACAGACTTGCTAGTTTTAAACCTTGGTCTTTACTCACAGTAGCTATGTGACCTTGGAGAAGTTACTTAGCCCCTCTGGGCCTTAGATACTTTCTGTGTAAACTGGGGAATGCTAGTGGCTCGATGTTTAAAAGCTTGGCGGCTATCTGAAACGTTAACAGTTCAAGCACACTACCGGTTTTGAGAGAGAAAGATGAGTCAGTATGCTTCCATGCAGATGAAAACCTTGGAACTACTGTCGGGCAGTTCCACCCTGTCCAGTAGGGTTTCTATGAATCAAAATCAATTCAACAGCCATGGGTTTGGTATTTTGGGCGTTGTTGTTTTTAAATTTTATTATTTTTTTGTGTGTACCGTCAAATCAGATCTGACTGGTACAGGAGGATATTGTCTCTCCTTCTCCAGCAGAGCATCTGGTGGATTCGAACCACACATACGTCTGGGATTGCAGTGCAGCTTCTTACCACTAGGCCACCAGAGCTCCCTGATATTTGAGTTTTAACACTAGGCTGCTAACTGCGAACCCAGAGATCATCTGTAGAACCCACTGACAGCTTGAAAGTCTTCAGGGCAGTTTTACTCAGTCCCATGGGGTCCCCATGAGCTGTAATCCACGCCACTGCTATGAAATTTGGTTAAGCATCTCCACTCCCGACTCATTAGACTCACAGGTTCAACTTCCACTTTCGGGGGGTCACAGAAGTCAGAGCAGAGAGGCTCATGGGAATTGTAGTCCCAACCTTCTACCCTCCCCCGACCCCCTCCCGGGACCAGCAGTTGGGAGAAGTTGGGGGTACGAGGGCCAGACACGGCTGGGTGACTAATGTGTGTCTTTCTTTCTGGGGGGGCGGAGGAGCGGGATCGAGTTTGGGACACGTACAGCGGCCTGGAGCAGGAGCTGGGAAGCTTGAGAGAGACCCTTGAGTACCTGCTGCACCTCGGCTCCCCCCAGGTACATCCCTGACCCCCATCTTCGAGTTCTGCCCTCCATGCCAAGTCACCCCCTCAACCCTTGTTGACAATGCTCCTCCCACAAAACTGAAGCTCCTCCCCCTTTACCTTGACCACCTCCTCCTCCTCCTCTTCCTCCCTCCTCCTCGCTACCCTAGTAGTGGTCTCAGCCCTTTTTGTGGCGAAAGAACCTGGGTGGTGCTGTGGTTAAAACACTTGCCCATAATCCAAAGGATCAGAAGTTTGAACACTGCAGCTATTTTATTATTTTAGTAATTTTTGTGCGTACCGTCAAATCGGATCTGACTGGTACAGGAGGAGATGGCCCCTCCTTCTCCAGGAGAGCATCTGGTAGATTCGAACCGCGTACCTCTGGGATTGCAGTACAGCTTCTTGCCACTAGCCCACCAGAGCTCCCTACACTGCAGCTATTCTATGAGAAAAAGATGTGGCTCCTGTAAAGATTTACAGCCTCGGAAAACCTCTGGGGACAATTCTACTCCATCCTGTAGGGTCGCTGTGACTTGGAATCCATTGTAGTGAAGATGCTGCCTTTCACTTAAAGCTTTACCTTCTCAGTTCTAAGTGCCTTCTCTTGTCTTGAAGTCCTACCTGTAGGGGTTCAACTCCCGCCCCTCAGCACTCTAAGTATCCGGCAAGTTCATCTCTTGGGTTCTATATCCTCATCTTTGCCTTTAAGCTTTTCCTCTGACGCTTCTACTTCTTCCCCCACCCCAAGCAGTTTATTTAATCATATTACAATCTTGCAAGGTAGATATTGACACCTTTTTAATAAATGTGAAAAAAATAATTGTCAAGATTAAATAATTTTTAGAAGTGGTGAACTCTAGATTTTTAAAAGGTTTATTCAAAAAGTCTTGATTTTACCAAATATGATGCAATAAATTGTTTTGAAAAACAAAAGTCTTGATTTTGAGGCTGCTGCTTCTAACTCCCATTCCCAGATCCAAGTTCTGCCCCTACCTCTAATTTACAAACCCCGTTCCCTATAAAGCCCCGCCCCTGATTAATAAGCACCACCTCTAACATACAAACCCCACCCAATGCATAAGCCCCACCTCTAATAAGCCCCGCCCATACACAGAAGCCACACCCGTAACCTACAAGCCCCACCCAGCACATAAGCCCCACCTCTAACCTACAAGCCCCACCCCCTAGTGCATAAGCCCCACCCCTAGTGCATAAGCCCCACCTCTAACATACAAGGCCCACCCCTAACACATAAACCCCACTTCTAACATACAAGCCCCACCCCTAACACATAAGCCTCACCTCTAACCTACAAGCCCCGCCCCTAACACACAAGCCCCACCTCTAACATACAAGTCTCACCCCTACTGCATAATCCCCAGCTCTTGGATATGAACCCTATCTCTTCATTCTCAATCTACTAAGAGAATTCTAAAATGTTAAAGTGCCATCACATCAATTCAGACCCAGAGCCATCCGACGTGGTGGTATATGAGGCATGTTTTTCATGTGAAGGGCCCTGATGGTGCCGTGATTAATGATTAAAGTATTCAGCCCTTAACCTGAAGGTCAGTGAGCCACTCCTCGGGAGAAAGATGAGGTGATCCTTGTAAAGATTTACAGCTTTGGAAACCCTGTGGGCAGTTCTCTGAACTTCAGGACCCCAGTGAGTTATAATTAACTCACTGTAGTGGGTGTGGGTGTATTTTGGTGAACCTGTAGGGAAGGAGGCTGTGACAGCTTTCTCTTAGGGCGCCTTCAGAGGGATTTGAACAGCCAGTCTTTGCGTTGGCAGACAAGTGCCTAACCATTGCGCCATCAAGGTTCCACGTCTAAACCAAACATGTTGAGTTAAAATGAACCAATTATGTCCTTCAAGCTAAGCCCCTCCCACTTAATCTAAAGAGACAAGATGAACATGTGTCTGCAGTGAAAGTTTACAGCCTGGGACCCCCCCCCAACGGAAGGTTGGTGTGAGTTTGCATTGTTTGGGAACTTGAACCCTTGTTCAGTTCTAAACCCGTACACATCGGGAGTAAATATTGCCAAATCAGTTACTGGCAAGTCCATTCTGACTGGTGGAAAGGAAGATAAAAAGGATTATGAGCTCCTTCTGACAGCTGATGGACACCCTGTGGACAATACACTGTCCCATAAGGCTGAGCAGCTGTCCTTTCTCTGTACGTGGTCCCCGGGGCCAGCGTGAGCTGGCGCTGACTGGGTGGTACCCAGTGTTGTCGACTGAAGTGAAAGACAGAGATGGGGACACTCAGAATGGAGGTCTGGCCAGAAAGAGTGAAGGCATGGGGCTAACAGCTGGAAGAACTGAAGATCCTATGCTCTGTGGTTTTATTGAGAATTATCAGGAAGTGAACAAAATCACAAGGAAGTAAACAAAAACTAAGGATCATGGGGAAGTAAGTCACAAAGAGAAATTTTGTAAGTAAGTCTGAATTCTTCTCTATTGTTTACCTTATGCTTCTCTCTGGAGAGAGGGATTTAGTAAATGCAAACTAAGAATTATGGAACTCAGGAGCTTTGCCAGAGAAGGAGGGGCGATCTCCTCCCGTACCAGTCAGATCCGATTTGACGGTACATACATACAAATAATAAAATTTAAAAAAAAATTAAAAAAATAAATTTTTAAAATTTTATTATTTGTGTGTATGTACCGTCAAATCGGATCTGACTGGTACGGGAGGAGATTGTAAGACTGAGAAAAACTGGATAAATTGTGTATACTGCACTGAAACAGATGAGGGAGTGAATAATTTAAAAGCGATGTATGCTATGCAACCATACCTTACAACAAAATGTAGTACGCAAAATGATTTCATGATTATCTGCAATGTTGCAAAAATCCTCGAGCTGGTTGTACCACTAATGGAGCACCCAAGTGAAACATTCCTTGCCACTATTGAAGAAGATCTGATGAAGCTTATCATCAAATATGGCATGACTGTAGTACAACATTGTGTCAGCTGTCTTGGGGCTGTTGTAAATAAAGTAACACAAAAATTTAAATTTGTCTGGGCCTGTTTCAATAGATACTATGGTGCCATTTCAAAATTAAAAAGCCAGCACCAAGAGGACCCAAATAACACTTCTCTTCTTACAAACAAACCAGCACTTCTTAGATCCCTTTTCACTGTTGGAGCACTATGTCGGCATTT